CGGGCTCCGCCCCTGGCCCTGACTCCCCCATCCCCGCCCCTGCTTGACTCAGAATGGAATGTGCAGCCTGTGGAACTGGACGGAGTAAAAACTGGCTCCCCGAGGGCCTGACCCGGCCCCCTCCTGCCCTTCCGCCAGGGGGTGGGTGGGGGCCCCTGGGGCCAGGGCCAGGTCCTTAGCTGGGCTAGAGGTGCCCCTGGCTGCCCCAGACCCTGTGCGGAGCGGGGGCAGAGGTACATGCCACAGAGGCCCAGGGTCAGCCATTGGAAGGGGGTTAGTCCAAGAGGAGGGTGGGTGGCCACTTAGAGGCCAGGGTGAAACAGGCAAAACAGACCCCCTCCCCACCTCCGGTAGCTGGGGTGGCCTGCCCGGTCCCACAGCCTTTGGTGCCCCCCCCCCCTCTCTAAATATATTTTATTGATGTTTTTACAGAGAGGAAGGGAGAGGGAGAGAGAGTTAGAAACATCGATGAGAGAGAAATGTTGATCAGCCACCTCCTGCACACCTCCCCACTGGGAATGTGCCTGCAACCTGGGAGGGACCCTTCAGTCTGCAGGCTGGCGCTCTATCCGCTGAGTCAAACCGGTTAGAGAGGTGACTTTTCTTTTAAAAGCTGTGGCTCATACTTATTATTCCTATAGTTTCCAAAAGTAGTAAAACCATGTTATACTTTTGTCATCGGGATGGAAAGAATTTGAAATCTATCTATTGTAGAACTGACAGTGGGACAGAAAAAGCGGTCACCAGTGGACTCCCTGGAAGACCCAAAGGAGCCGGGGCTTGACCAGTGCTAGGATCTCCTGCAGAGAGAGGGCCCGGCGGAGAGGGGACGGGTAGGAGGAGAAGCCTGTAAGGCTGGCGGAGAGGGGACGGGGTAGGAGGAGAAGCCTGTAAGGCTGGCGGAGAGGGGACGGGTAGGAGGAGAAGCCTGTAAGGCTGGCGGAGAGGGGATGGGGTAGGAGGAGAAGCCTGTAAGGCCGGCGGAGAGGGGACGGGTAGGAGGAGAAGCCTGTAAGGCTGGCGGAGAGGGGACGGGTAGGAGGAGAAGCCTGTAAGGCCGGCGGAGAGGGGACAGGGGTAGGAGGAGAAGCCTGTAAGGCTGGCGGAGAGGGGACGGGTAGGAGGAGAAGCCTGTAAGGCTGGCGGAGAGGGGACGGGTAGGAGGAGAAGCCTGTAAGGCTGGCGGAGAGGGGATGGGGTAGGAGGAGAAGCCTGTAAGGCTGGCGGAGAGGGGACGGGTAGGAGGAGAAGCCTGTAAGGCTGGCGGAGAGGGGGACGGGTAGGGGGGAGAAGCCTGTAAGGCTGGCGGAGAGGGGATGGGTAGGAGGAGAAGCCTGTAGGCCGGCGGAGAGGGGATGGGGTAGGAGGAGAGCCTGTAGGCTGGTTGAGAGGGACAGGGGTAGGAGGAGAAGCCTGTAAGGCTGGCGGAGAGGGGATGGGGTAGGAGGAGAAGCCTGTAAGGCTGGCGGAGAGGGGACGGGGTAGAAGGAGAAGCCTGTAAGGAGGCGGAGAGGGACGGGTAGGAGGAGAAGCCTGTAAGGCCGGCGGAGAGGGACGGGGTAGGAGGAGAAGCCTGTAAGGCTGGCGGAGAGGGGACGGGTAGGAGGAGAAGCCTGTAAGGCTGGCGGAGAGGGGACAGGGGTAGGAGGAGAAGCCTGTAAGACCGGGCGGGTTCCTTCAGGTGACAGTTGAGTGGGCCCCAGAGTGGGCTCAGCTGGGGTGGGCGGCCCCGGTGCCCAGGCCCTGGAGACTCCTGCTTTGGCCCTGGCACCTGGGAGGAGTGAGGAAATGGAGAGAAGCCTGGGCTGAAGCTGACCTCATATGACTCCAAAGAATTAACTCTCGCCCGGGCCGGTCGGCTGAGTGTTGTCCTGGGCACCATAAGGTTGCCCTTTCGATTCCGGGTCAGGGTGCATGCCTGGGTTGGGGTGCGATCCCCAGTTGGGACACGTACAGAGGGCGCAATAGATGACTCTCACCTCTCTCTCTCTCTCTCTCTCTCTCTCTCTCTCTCTCTCTCTCTCTCTCAGCATGTCCTCCTGTGAGGATTAAATAAAAACAAACCCTTGCCTGCCACACGAGGCTGGCCCTGCGCCCTCCTTAGCGTGCAGAGCGAGGGAAGTTCTGTTTCGGGGTATGGGGTGGGGTGAAGCTCTCTGGAAACCTGGCCCCTCACCGCCCTGTAGAGCCTGAAGCCATCCATTCCCTCACCCTGGGAGGCCTCTGTCCTGGGCCTGTCCCTGAGGGTGCGGTGGGTGGGGAAGGAAGGGGAATAAAAGGTTAGTGGGAGGGGCTGGAAGGACACCCGGTGCAGGTACTACCAGGCCCTCCCTCCGAGGCAGGTGGGTGCGGGGAGTGGATAGGGAGTGAATAGAGCTGTTGAAAGCAGAAGGGAGTGGCCCCTCCAGCCGGCCCTGGCTTACCCAGGTCCCTGTTTCTCGGCTGGCGGAGAGGGTGTGCATGCGTGTGTGTGTGTGTGTGTGTGTGTGTGTGTGTGTGTGTGTGTGTGTAGGTAGCCGGTGGGGGCTCATTCAGCCCCCTCTGGTGCCTGGAGGTGGCCGTGGAGACCTTAGGCCAGGCAGCACAGGGGAGAGCGGACTGGGAGGAGAGCCAGGCAGTGGTGTGGGGCCTTGCTGAGGAGAGGCAGAGGGGGGACCCTCCTCTCCGAGTTCCAGTCCCCCGCAGCCTCTGGGCCCCACACAATTGGGGTTCCCGTCCCAGTCTATCTGGAGAGCAGCAGGCAGTGGGCAGCACCTCCTTCCCTCCCGTCTCTGAGCTCAGCCTCCTGCTGTCCTGGGAGTGTGGAACCACAGCCACCCTCACACCAGAGTGGGTGGGGCGGGAGTCTGGCCAGGTGAGGGGCCGGAGAAGGAGAGGGGTGGGAGGGAAAGGGTTAGTGGTGGGGGCTGTGGGCTCTGCTAGCTGGGGCTGGGGGCGGGGCAGAGAGGGAGGCCTCTCCCCTTGGTTCGGGAGATGGGCTCAGCTCAGCCTTCACTCACCCGGACCCTCGCCAGGAAACAGGTCAGAGGACAGAGGAAGAGGACTGTGCCCCAGCGGGCCTGGGCCAGAGTGTGTACGTAGCGGGAGAGCTCCCTCTTCGGAGGAAGTGAAGGGATGAACTTGACTGCTGTCTGCCAGAGCGTGACTGCAGCGAGGACATGAGTCCAGGTGCATGAGGCTCTGTGCCTTGTGCCAGGCCGTCTGCACAGCTGTTCCCGACGGCTCTGCTGGAACTGGCTCAGCATCGGGGGCCCATTGCTCTCATGCCACTGATGTTTGTTTCTTGTCGTTGATTTTTAATTTGTAAACATTACTTTTAATTATAGTTAGCACACAATAGTATATTAGATTCTGGTGTACGAGACAGGGAACCAACATCTGTATACCTTGCAGAGTGGTCCCCCACGGAGTGGAGTAACCATCCGTCGTCATACATGCTGATCAGGCTATTGATTCTGTGCCTTATGCGTTACATTGTAACTGGAAGTTTGTACTTCTTAATCCTCTTCCCCTTCCCTACCCAACCCCCCTCTCTCTGGCAACCAGGAGTTTGTTCTCTGTATCTGGGAGTTTCTGTTTCATTTGCTTATTCATTTATTTTGTTTTTTTAGAGTCTACATACGGGGTGGGCAAAAGTAGATTTACAGTTGTATGTGAAGCAGTTTATTTATTAATTGTATTATTTTCCATTTGAACAACTGTAACCCTACTTTTGCCCACTCCATATAAGTGAAAAGATAAGGTATTTGTCTTTTCTTTTTTTGTGTATGCAATTTTTATTTATTTGTTTTAAATGTGTGCATATGTATATTTTTAATTTCAGAGAGGAAGGGAGAGGGAGAGAGAAACATCAATGATCAGAGAATCATTGATTGGCTGCCTCCTGTATGACTGAAAAGATAAGGTATTTGTCTTTCATTGTTTTGTGTATGCAATTTTTATTTATTTATTTTAAATGTGTGTGTGTGTGTGTGTGTGTGTGTGTATATATATATATTTAATTTCAGAGAGGAAGGGAGAGGGAGAGAGAAACATCAATGACCAGAGAATCAATGATTGGCTGCCTCCTGTATGACCCCCTTTAGGGATTGAGCCTGCAACCCAGGTATGTGCCCTGACTGGGAATTGAACTGTGACCTCCTGGTTCGTAGGTCACGCTGAGCCAAACAGGCCGGGCAGGTATTTGTCTTTCTGTCTGACTTAGCTCACCTAGTAAAATGCCCTCTGGGTCCACTCATGCTGTAGCAAATGGAAAATTTCATGCTTTTTTATTGCTGAGTAATAGTCCATTGTTTGTATACCACATCTTTGTCCGTTCATCTATTGATGGACACACAGGTTGCTTCAGTAAAAAATGCTTGTAATAATGAACATTAGTGTGGGCATGTCCTTTTAAATGAGCACTTTTGCTTTTTTGGGGGGATAAATACCCAGAAGTGAAATTGCTGGCTCATACTGTAGTTCTGTTTTTAATTTTTTGAGGAACTTCCATATTGTTTTCCATAGTGGCTGCACTCATTTACATTCCCGCCGGCAGTGTGCGAGGGTTCTCTCTTCTCCGCGTCCTCGATAACACTCCTTATTTGTTGCCTTTTTTTGGTGAGAGCTGTCTGACCGGCGTGAGGTTGGGACCTATGGTTTTCATAATGTAAATCCCCTTCTCTCCCGCCACCCGGACTGAGAGCCACCCTCCCCCACAGGCCACCCCCAGTCCGGAGGTGGTTCTAGCCAGGTGTGGGCAACCTGCGGCTCCGGAGCCGCATGCGGCTCTTTTTGTTAAGTGAAAAAATCCTTTTTCTGCACGATCGGGTATATAGCGTTAAGGTAAGAAACAATATATGCAGTGTTATATTTGTTTTAAATGTCGCAAAGGTTTTGCGGCTCCCAGGTTTCTTTTTTCCTTCGAAAACAGGTCCAAGTGGCTCTTTATGTCTTAAAGGTTGCCGACCCCTGTTCTAGGCTATTGACGGACACAGCGTGGGGACCAGAATTGCGTGCAGGCGCGGGTGCGAGTGTGTTGGGCGGCTTAGAGAGGGTCTCGAGGTGGACTGTCTCCACCATCCGTGGCGTTGGGTAGGTGGCCACAGGTACAAAGGGCCCTGTGATTCCTAAGTTGAGGCGGCTGGGTTTAGGATAAGGTGACCAGACGTCCAGCTTTTGGCGGGACAGTCCCGATTTTAGGGACTGTCCTGCCAACAGCGGGACGTCTGGTCACCTTAGTTTAGGACGGGGTGGGAAAGACTGACGACAGGTCCTTTAGCCAGTCTCCAACCCAAGGGTCTCCGCTGCCTCCTTCCTTCTCCCTCTCCTGTCATCAAAGCTCACCCACCCCTTGCCCTTCAGGACCCTTGATCTCACCCATGGGGGTTTACCAACCTGAATTCACGTCCTGGTGACACATCAGCAGGTAACCCCTGAGCACCTGGGCCTCTTAAGCAGCCACGCGACTTCATAAGCCCAGAGCTGATTGACAGAGCGGGAAGGTGTGGGGCAGAGTGGATGTTGGGGTGTGCGTGGGCCTGCTCTGTTCACCCGAACACCCAGCATTCGGGCCCGCTCCCCCGGAGCTGTGAGAGCAGCCTCGCTGCTGCACAGTTTTGAGGAAGATAAAGAGGAGTCAATAATCAGCTGGGTCGAAACTGGTTTGGCTCAGTGGATAGAGCATTGGCCTGCGGACTGAAAGGACCCAGGTTCGATTCCGGTCAAGGGCATGTACCTTGGTTGCAGGCACATCCCCAGTGTGGGGTGTGCAGGAGGCAGCTGGTCGATGTTTCTCTCTCATTGATGTTTCTGGCTCTCTGTCTCTCTCTCTTCCTCTCTGTAAAAAAATCAATAAAATATATATTACAAAAAGAATAATTGGTTGGATCCTGACTGACAAAAGTGAAGGTAAGGAGGTGCGGGGGTTCAGGGCTTCCAGGAGCACCCAAGAGGGGGCACCACAACCAGATGTGGGCAGTCAGGGAAGGCTCCCTGTAAGAGGAAACCAGGACCTAGAGGAGGAGGAGGAGACAGCTTGGTGGGAACAAGTCACCCTGACTTTGGGGAGGGGGGTGAGTGTAGGGCGTTCAAAGACGGGGTGGCGAGCGGCCCCCGGCACCCAGAGGCTGTGCTCCGCTGTGAGCTGTGTGTGCCAGCCTGGGGGGAGCATAGGTTTTGTTTTGTTTTGTTTTTTATTTATTTAAAAAAATAGATTTTGTTGATTTTTTTTACAGAGAGGGATAGAGAGGGATAGAGAGCTAGAAACATCGGTGAGAGAGAAACATGCCCTTGACCGGAATCGAACCTAGGACCCTTCAGTCCGCAGACTGACACTCTTGTCCACTGAGGCAAACTGGTTTCGGCAGGGAGCATAGGGCTTTTTTTTTGGGTGGGGGGGGTGTTGGCTGCCTGTGGTTCAATGTGATGCTGCGGGTACAGTGGACTCGGGCGCAGTGTGGTGTGTGGCCGGAGTGGCCCGGGTATTGGTAGGAAAGGGTGCCGGGGTGGGAGGGTCGGTGGCAGGATTGCCAGGGCCAACTGCAAATGAGCCAGGCTGGCGTGAAATGCCTTCGCTGCTTCCCTCCTCCCCTCCCCTCTCCTCCCTGCCCGCCCCTCCCCTCCCCTCCCCAGAATCAACAACTGTGTCAACAGCAGGGTGATTGTGCTTGGCCAGCAGCCTCCGGGGCTGCCAGGACTGGGCAGGTGCTGGCAGGGGCTGGGCCTGGCTGCCAGGCTGCAGGATAAACACGGCCGCACACAGGCGGGCACACAGGCGGCCGGCGGGCTGCCGGGAGGCCGCAGGCAGCAGGGAGAACAGGTGTCTCAGGAGCGAGGCAGACACAAAGGGCCTCTTGTCTCCCCTCCCCTCGGCCCCGGGGAGCAGCCCCCTCCTCCAAGCCCACCACCCGGGGTCAGGTCAGCCAGGGGCTGCTGGGGGTGAGGGGGGGGCAGGTGCTGACCTCCAGACCCCCCCTGCCCCCTGCCCCTGGGTGCTTGTTTTTTCTTGCCCGAGATGAGGTGAAACCAGTGCTGACTGCGTGCAGGAAGGTGGAGGGGGAGGCGGCCCCACTAGCCACAGTGAGTCTGTCCCACCTGAAGGCCTACAGGACTCCTCAGCCCCTCGGGGTGCCCAAGGAGGGACAGGGTGGGGGGTGGGAAGGGCACTTGCTGCTCTGGAGAGGAAACATGAAGACCTGGAGATCGAGGAGGTAGTCAGGCAAGAACCATGGCGGTGGTGATGGAAGTGGGGCGAGAAGTAGGGCGGCTTGGGCCGAGGGGTTGCAGGTGGCTGGGCTGTGGCAACGCCCTCCTCCCTCTCCCTCCGTACCCCGTTAGGAGACAGACCTTCACTGAGCACCTGCCGTGTGTTCGGATTGGGGGAGGCAGGGACGCAGAACACAGGCCCAGCACAGACGGGCGGATTCCGGGGCCGGCTGCCTGTGTGGTCTTTTTTGGTAATAATTGCGACGCCTTGGTCTTCTCATCTGGAACGTGGGGGAGGGGACAGTCGCTGCCGGTGGGGCTGCTGAGGTGGTTCATTGTGGGAAGAGATGCCCGTTTCGCAGTGAGGACTGTGTAAGATAAGGCCGTTATTGTGCCTGACTCAGAGCAGCCTGAGCCTGGGAAGCAGACAGGTAAGAAATAATGGCATCGGGCCGAATACGAGAGACCAGGATGTCCGAGGGCCTCACTCTGCTGGGATGGTCAGAGAGGGGCTTGTGAAGGCGGGGAGCATTTGAACGGGGCGTGGAGGGATGGGTAGGAGTTTTCCAATCAGGAATGCAGGGTGGACCTTCTAGGCAGGGGCACCGGGTGAGCCAGCGCTCAGAGCGCATGGTCATGTCCACACGAGAGGCCCAGTGCACGAAATTCATGCGTGGGTAAGGGCGCTAGTGGCTGCCGGCCGCCGGCCTGGGCTTCCCTTCCCGAGGTTGGCTGGCCCTGCCCCCCGGCCGAACTCCCAGTGGAGGGGACAACTTGCATATTAGGCTTTTATTATATAGGATTATAGATTTGTGAGGACAACAGCTGGAAGGATGGGGGGGGGGGTGGGTGCGAGGCTGAGAAGGGGCTGCAGGGCAGGCAAAAAACGAGGCTCATCCCAGCTTCTGCAGGGTGAACTGCCAACTCGGTCGTCCCACAGAGTCTTTCCTCTGCCCCCCCACTCTGATCCATTCTGGAAAATTCCGTCTCGCTCGCTCTGGACGAGTCTTCAGTGTATAGAGAAGCAGGATTGTTTAGTGAAAACACCACTGAGCTTTAAGGTCAGAAAGTTCTGAATTTGGAAGCTTTTGAATTTTGAATCTCGATTTGGGGCCATTTACCTAATTTCTTGGAGCCGTGTAATCTGCTCTCCCCCGGGGCCGGGTGGCGGTGAGTGTGAGAGAGAAAGGTGTGCCACGTCTGCTGTGCACCGGGAGCTGTGAGGGCCCCTCCAGGTGGGCCTGCCCGCATCAGCACCCGGCTCTCTACTGGGGCCTCTGTCTCTCTGCTGGAGCCTCCGTCTCTCTGCTGGGGCCTCCGTCCCTCTATCGGGGCCTCGGTCTCTCTATCGGGGCCTCTCTCTATCTGTGATATGAAACAACTGTGCGTCTCCTTCCCTCCGGGATTCCGAACTGGCAGGGGACTATGGGCAATCAGTCAGCGGGAGGCCCAGTACCAGAGGGCCCGGCACTGGCCTCCCCGGGCAGCACTGGGCCTGAGGGACCGCGGTGGAGGGAGCTGGCCCCAGTGGCTGTGGCAGGGAGCCTGAGTGGGCAGTGGGCCCCCATCCTGCCTTTGCTCCGGGGTGAAGCTCTCCGGGGGCCTCGAACACCTTCCTGTGACTGCAGTGCTGGTGTCTGCGGCCTCCAGCTTGGGTGCCCTCAGGCCTGCCCCTTGGCCTCTTGGAACCCCGCTTTTCCCACCTGCCACTTGGGAAGGCCCAGCGGGACCCCACCCGGGCTGAGACGAGAATGCCGCCGCGCTGCTGAGGATGTGGATAGCCACCCTGGTCATTTCAAGCTCCAGATGTGTAGCCAGACCTTCGCGGCAGTCCCACATCTGCACTTGGCCCAGTGCCTCCGCTGGTGTGCCTCCCTCCCCGTGGCTGACCGCGGGCGCCTCCCAAAGCGGGTCAGGAAGGGCCGAGAGTATCTGCCCGTTTTGTGGATGAGGAGACTGAGGTTTGGAGACGAGGACTCGTCCAAGCGGTGGAGCTTCCTTGTCCCACGGGCTGTGGTGGCTGTGGGTGTGCAGGGCAGCTGTTCCGCGTGGTGTTTGACCCTGAGCAGAGCCGGTGGAACCACCCTGGGATTTGCCCCCCGGCCTCCTGCCATTGGTTTTGAGGACCCCGTGATGGGAAGGGCGAGGGGCCCTGGAGAATATCAGGAGCCCATTCCAGGGCGCCCGTCCCGACACCCGACCGGAGGTGTGTTTGCCTGGGCAGGGCCGCCGTTGTCTCCTCTCTCCTTTGCCGCTTTGGCTGTGCCCCGCACGGCGGCACCTCCGCTTTCTCCTCCTTCTCTGCACTCAGGTTTCTCCGGGGGCCATGAGGCAGGGTGCGGCCGAGAAGAGAACGGGGTGCAGAGGGGCTGCCGGGAGACGCGGAGGGGACAGTCCTCTGGGATGCCCCGGCAGCTGGGCAGACAGCTTCCTAGCTGCAGTGAGTGACCCTTGGATTTCCTTAAGGTCCATGGACACATTTACATGCAATTTGCATATAACCAGAACACCGAACCAACTTTATAGTCTATCTCCAGGCACATTCAGAGTTGCCTTTTATGCTCTTGTTCTTCGTGAAGGTGGCTGCTTCTGGCTGTGTGGTCTTGTTTTCGCCTTCTCCCTCCTGCCCCGTTTCTCCCCTGACCCTCACTCAGAGGGCAGGTGACTGGGGACAGAATCCGCTCAGGGTCACCCACCGAGGGCTGGGCCAGACACCGCTCCTCAGCAAGGACATCCAGGCCCACTGTCCCCCCGCCCAGAGGCAGCCCTCCTCCGTGCCTGGGGACCGGGGCACAGGGCTTGGCACTTGGCAGGTGTGCAG